GACCGGGGAGTGCTAGACTATTTTCTCCCTGCGCCCCCATCATCTGTTTACTCGCGTCCCTCCATCCCCGGCATGAACTGTCCTTGAGGGCGCGCGGTTGTAGGAACGGACCAGGGGCAGCAGAGGCAGAGCAGCCGCTGGGCTCAGCGCCCCGGGCTCAGCCGCTCCTCAGAGCATCTCTGCTGACGCGGTCTGTGGCACCTGTACTCCCCTGAGGTACTGCGTGGCTGTAGTCCCTTCCCCAGAGAACTCGCCCACATGGCACAGCATCTCCCACCTGCTGCGGAGTCAGGAGATGCTGACTGCAGCCACGGGGCACAGCGGGAGCACACAGGGGGGGTCAGGGATGACAAGGCTCTGTGGCAACCTGGGACATGAGAGAGATGAATTTGGGAAGCAACCGTTTACCCAGGGAGAGGATAAAGGCGCAGGAAAGTCTTGAGGGTATTGGAGGGGTTTCTCTTCTCCAGGAGGAGCAGCACAGTTTGCTCAGCCTGCCCCAACATGTCATGTTCGACAGTGCCCAAATGAACCCACTGACCTTTGTTGCATCCATGTCAGTCTATTGGTGTTCTTGTCGGACTGGGGAGCCCCAGTGTGCCCAGCCCCTCTCCAGATGTGGCCTCCACCGAGCCAGAGGGGCCAGAGGGGCAGAGTCGCCTCCCTGGAGCTGCTCACACCACATGCACTAGCATAGCTCTGCTGCAGTTGCCCCTCCTTGCTGCTAGGGCTCTGCTGTCTCATGTCCTTCTGGATGTCTCCTAAATTCCCCTTCAGGGGATATGTCCTTCCAGCCCTGTGAGACCAGTTTGGATTCCAAAGATATCCACGTGTAGAGGCTCCCAGAGATCAAATTCCCAGTGGCACACAAAGGAAAACAATAAACCATCTCCTAGGTGTGTTCAGCTTGTTAATGAGGTGGGGATGTTCTTATGCTAATGATGCTGGTGACTCTCTGGTTTATGATCTCACTATATGAAGCTAAACTGCAGAGAATTTACACTTTGTGCACACAAAGCTCCCTTTAGTGATGGCTGTGAGAGGGAAAAGATCCGGAGCACAAGCTGTCAATTCCTCCAAGGTGAATGGAGAGAAAACAACCTCAGGCCGTTATGTACAGCTTGAAGTGAGTCAGCAAATTGTGGCTGCCCCATCCTTGGAAGTATTCTGGGTCAGGTTGGATGAGGGGGTCCCTTCCAACCCAAGCCATTCTATGATTATGATTCCGTGACTGCTGCAGCTTCTTCCTGGAAACAACACTTCAAACAACACCACCAGAGTGATCAGGATAGAATCATTTGTGTGCTCTGACCCATCTAGCACTGGAGCTGAGTCTTCTGCCTGCAGTGCTGCATTCTTGCCTTAGAGATCCTGGAGCCTTTCATCCCAGGGTTCAGAAGAAGCCTTCATTGGGGAATGGGCATGGCACAAACTTGGAAATGAAAAGGCAGCAATGTAGAAATGAAAGCACATTCCATATCATTAGCCTTGATAGTTTGCATTCAAGATGAGCTTGTTGGGAAATTGTTACCTCTGCAAAGACCTCCTCTGGTCCTGGGGCAGTGCGGGGCAGGTATAAAAGGCAGCCCAACTCTCTGCTCTCTCATCCACTTCTCCTGCCTCCTTCTGCTTGGGAACCAGGTGAGTATGAAGCCCCTTCTCCTCTTCCGAAGCGAGATCTTCATTTGTTGGACATCTCAGCTGATTTTGGCTTTCTCATATTGGGGGTTTGGAGGACCTTGTCATGAGAAATGAAAACAGGGAGGAGTTTGGCATAGACAGGCTGGGATATGTCTGTGATGACTTTTGGGCTATGCATTGGGAGAGAGTTCCCTTGGGTCAGGCTGCTCTTTTTAGGGTCCTGGTCAGATGAGGCAATGAAGACTGGCTCTTGCCATGGTCTCCAGCTTTCCACTCACTGATGGCCATGGCTTCTTTGTGACCAGGCAACCAGGCTGCTCCTCACCCAATCTTGTGCTGTGCTTCTCCCTGTCCTCTCTCCCAGGTGCATCTCCAAGTCTGAGCCATGTCCTGCTACAACCGTCCCTGTGGCCCAACCCCTCTGGCCAACAGCTGCAACGAGCCCTGTGTCCGACAGTGCCAGGACTCCAGGGTGGTGATCCAGCCTTCTCCTGTGGTGGTGACCCTGCCCGGCCCCATCCTCAGCTCCTTCCCCCAGAACACCGTGGTGGGATCCTCCACCTCCGCTGCCGTTGGCAGCATCCTCAGCTGTGACGGAGTGCCCATCAACTCCGGGGGCTTTGACCTCTCCTGCATTTCCAGGCGCTATGGTGGCAGGAGGGGCCTCCCCTGCTAAAGGTGCTGGTACAGCCCCAAGGAGAGACCTTGAGGAGCTCAGAACATGGTGTTGAGCAGAGGATCTAGGTTTTGGGTGCTGCTGCAGGATAGCTGACCAAACTTGCCTTTCTCTTACTTTGCATTGCTTGCATTGGTTCCTCTGCATTGCAGTGTCCCCCAAAGCCCAAAAGCTTAGCGGGGACAGTTTTGGTTTCACCCCCTTTGTGGGGCAGGCAGGCAAACATCATGCAGAAACTATTCTTCAGCCAAGGAGAGCAGATCTTGATGCCCTCAGGGCTCCCTGCACTGCTGCCCTCCACTTGCAGTGGCTTTGCTTCCCTCTTCTGTTTCATTAAAGTTCTGCTGCATTCAAGTCTGGCCTCTGTGTGTCTTTCGCTCTGGTTGCATTTCCAAATGCCAAAGGAGAAAGGTGCTGCTCAGGTAGAAGTAGGTGAGGGCATAAAGCGACCCTTATCCATTCATAGAGTAATGGGATTTTAGGCACCACACACGGGCTCCTGTTTTAGGAACCACCACCCCTTGGAGCTGAAGGTCTCCTTGGCTACTCCACTGCCAGAGGCAATCAGGACTGGTCTTGATGTGTCTCTGGCCACAAATACCCAGAAAATTGGGAGACCTCAAAGCATGAACCGCCCCTTGGGAGTCCTTGGGGCATGAACAGCCCCATGAACTCTTGAGGGTGTTCCTCTTGTTAAGTCTAGAGCTGCACAGGGGTAGTGGGTGTGGGGCTCCAGCAGATAATTTGCTGCGCAGAACGCGAGGAGTTGGAATTCAGGGAGCAGCATTTGTGTTGGACCACGGCTTCTACTCCATCCTACTCTCCTCTCCACAATGCAATAAAAAGTGAGGATGAATACCCATTGAGCACTTTCTTTCCCCTATGCCATGTTCCTTTAGCTCAGCACGTGTTCGGCCCGAGGTCTCAGCCTCTGCGTGGCACAGCACGGGTCCTATGGGCTGCACGGATACCTTTGGCATTGGCTTGAACATGAGGCAGGGACACATCTCACACCAGACAGCACTGACACTCCAGTGAAAGCATAGCCTGGATGAAGTGGCTGCATGGCTAAGGTCCTATTTATTTCCTAGAATTGGTCACCCTAACATACATACACTGGAGACAGGCAGTAGCAAAGAGGACCTTGAGCAATAGAACTTCTTCTCTAGAAAGCTTTTGTCACACTCTAGAGAAATGAGAAGTCCCAAAGGGTGAGAGAGCAGGTCCAAATTGGACCTCTGTCTCAGGTGGCAGATACCTGTACCCAGAGAACTGTATTGATTGCCTCAGTTGGCTAGGGGACAGCTCTGCTGTGCTTTGAAGGGCTCCATCCTGGGGTCCTTGGGGACCATTTCCCGGGCCCAGAGTAGAATGGAGCTTTGGATCCATACTGGGCTGTTGCTTCCTGGGCTTAGGACCAGCCCTTGTGCTTACAGTGTAACTGCCCAGACTGGAGAGCAGAGTGGGGAGAAGAAATACTGCTGTGAGGGCACAGCTCTGGCCCTCAGTGTGCCCATGTGGTACTCAATGGTGTGCAGGGTCTGAGGACAGATCTCCAGTGGCCAAGGACTGCAGTGGGATTAAGCCCCTAATGTGCAAGTAAGAAGCCCTTTGCAGTGCACAGGGCTTGGGCTGGCCCTGCCTCAGGGCACTTGGTGAGCCAGGGACGCTGAGTCTGAGCAGGGCCATCTTCAGACTTTGGGCTGTGGTTGTGTTAATGCCTGTCCTGTACCACTGCTGGTGCCCAGTGCGATGGATAAAGGTGGTGTCTGTGCCCTGAACTGTGAGCAGGAGGAGCCTGAAGGGCACATCACATAGTTCATGGGGTGCTGTGTGCTTGAGCCTTTATTTTGCACCCGGTAGTGCCTTCAGCAGATGCTTCTGTGTGTTCAGGAGACCACAGATACCAGGGGATGCCAGGATTGAGGGTATTGCCTGGGGCTGAAGTCCAACATCTAGAAAGTCATTTTCAGGTGTAATTGAAAAACATACCCAAACGTGTGATTTAATAGTGAGGTCACAAGTGATTGGCACAAGCTCAGGTCAGTTGGACACCTGGAAAGAGCCATGAGGAGTCAGGGAGTCACTGGCCTCTGCAGAGCCCAAGTTGCTGTGGGGATGCTCTGTGAGCCATCAGCACAGTCACTCTCTGCCTGTAATTGGAGGTGTGGTGGCCACAAAGTGGGTGTTTGGACACTGAGTGCTCTCCCGGAGCTAGGATAGCCCATGGGGTGTTCTGTTCACAGCAATGGGGACCTCACTGTGTCGCCTGATCAGGGCACACACCAATTCCAAATTGAGAATTGCTGCAGCCTTGCATCTCAGGGCGGCAGCTGGGCCCTGCCTGTGCTGAAGGACTGCATTTGACCATGTGTGTTGCTCATGGATCCTACACTGAGTAATGGAGGGGAGGAGAAGGAAGAGGTGAAGTTGTGGGCTGTTCCCAGGCATGGATGTTTCTCATCCCAATTGCTGTGAGCCTTTGGAGCCATGATCTCCGTGGTGGATGTTGGATGTCAAGTAGCCAGGCACATTTTCTTCAGCTTCAACAGAAAAGACCCAAAGTAAAATCTGGTGCAGGGTCTCCCATCCTCTCCTTTGTCTACCTTTTTCTCTGAGCAGATGGGAGGAGTTGCACAGAAGGAAGGAGGACTCGGACGCTTAGGCTTGGATGCAAAACAGCTTTATTGAGTCTAAAGCAGAGGAGGTGAATCACAGAGAGCACGAGGAGCAGCCACTAGGATGCAGCGTGTCAATCTGCTTGGCCTGCAGAGGAAGGGAGGGCAACATATCTCCACCAGGCTGGTGTGGGGAGACACAGAAAGCATAGGAAACAGTGGAAGAGGGCAGAATGGCTTGAAGCTCTACATACGAAGTCCCAAAACTTTATCCCCTGCCCAACACCGCATTCTGAGGTTTTGCAGGTTCTTGCCCAAG